ACTCTTACCAGACATTTTCCCAAAACTATCACGTCTCACATCCACCGTCCTAAGAATCCATTCATCTTACAGTCGTAATAGGGGCCTGTTGCATGCTGCTCTGCCACTGCAGTTTATTTTAAAAGTGGTGTGTTTTTTTTTCCTTCCTCTTTTTTCTCTGTCCCTCCCTAACCACAGAGGAAGTAAGATTAACCTTCTTCCTATCCAAAGCTGAGATTCTGTATGTTGGCTCACAGACCACCAGGAATGAAGGAATCCAGTCTTAGGGTTTGGCACTGGAGGTTCTAAGAAATAGCTACCTCTCAAGGCTACAAATGAATGACGGGGGGGGGGGTAGCCTTTGTGTATCTCTTGTTCCTCCTGGCAGTTAGAATCACAGCCTCTGAGGCACAAGTCTACTGTGTATTCTTTGCTAGCAAAAGGGAATTTTTTTTTTCCTTTTTCTCAAAACTTTTTCCATATTATTGGATCAGCATCAGGGACAAGGCCAGAGCTTTCGGTATCAAAGTGATTTGTTTTCCTATAAGTGCCCTCTCCCAGCACCCCTTCATTATTAAGATGATAAATAGGCCCCAAATTCTAAACAGTACTGTGGGACACCACCCAAAAATTATTTGAGCCAGGAAGATTTTGGTTTGGCATTGCAAACTATTTTGTGGCTCCTCCCACTCAATGAATTGTGCAAAAACATGTGACCTCTGTCTTTGCTTGGCTAGGGAGACTGGAAACTGGACAGCCCACCTCCTACCTCATTTGACAAAAGAACATTCCATGGAAAACCTTTGATGCTTCCCCGTAAATAAAGCAAACTCTTGCTCTCTTTCCAGTGGGGAAGCTTGATCCCTAAGATCAGAGAGCYGTCCYATCCCCATCTTCTAAAATTACTTCCTGTGTCCTGTGGTTTCTTTGCCSTTTTGTCTTTCTTAGCTTTATTTRGCAGCCAGCCCATTATGCAGCAGAGGAAACCCAAATTCCACCTCCTGCGCAGGACATGGGCGAGACGCTACTTTGAGTCTCACTTTTTTTTTTAATCTATGGCTAAGTTTTCTTCCTAATCATATTAAAGTAGATAGTTAGGCAGACACATGCAGGGAGTTGGAGGAGCAAGAATAGAGCTCACTGCATCTTAAGTGACAGAACTTTACATTGGGTGACAGAGAACCCTATTCATAAACCATTTCCTTCACAGCCAGATGCCACCTCCTTAAAACTAAAAAGAACTGGATGGAAMCATATTAAGGGACTTTCCAACTTGTGAGAATGTGCAGAACACTGAGGCTGTGTCCTTTGGATGTCCCTGATTCACTGTGATACTATGCATATTGTGATTTTGACCTCCCCATGGCTTTCCCTTAAGTACTAATAGGGAAAATTTCTGACATGGCAGAGYTGATGGAAGTCCACTGARTCAAGGCAGGAAATGACTGGAACCATCCCAAAGAAAAAATTCATGGGTTGGAGGATTCATGGGGGTGGCAGCCTATAAAAACCCACAGTGCAAAAGAAACAAGGCCAAACCCCCTTCTCCTGGCACGGCCCACTCTACATTCTCTGAAGTATACTTTCATTTCATTAAATAAGCCCTTTGTACTTGCTTATTCTTGCTGTATATCCTGACTGGAATCTTTCTTTCAGGAARACAAGAATTGAGGAATCCACAAMRTAGAACCAAACTRGKTTTTGTCAGTTAAATTCACGTGCCTATAGACACTCAAGAGGGGAAAGCAAATGTTCTTCCTGCACTACAGACAAAAAAGGTCAAGGAATGAGTCTGTGAGCTAAGTCTGAAACTGTAGAGATTAGGCAGGACCAGCTAGAGGCACGGAACTTGCAAAGTTAAAAATTATCAATTTCCTTTTATCCACAAAGTACACAACAAATTACTTATAATAATATTATTCTACATTTATAAAAAGAAGTCTACMAAAAAGACTGCCCAAAGCAGCTCAATATAATGTTTTGCATCTTTCTACTTTCATCAGTAACACACAGGGAAAGAAAATAAGGGAAAGTATATTCTGTTCACTATCTAGATACATTCAGTAGAWACTTAGTACGTGAAATGGTAATATGACAGAGAAATTAAATTTTTAACATTTCTTGATTTCAATTCAACTTCCATGTATGTCTGGGGCTACCATATTGGTGATGCAGGTGATGATTTTAAATTGTATTTTCCATTATCAGTTTATTTATAAATAAAGCAATTTTGTAAAGCCATAAAAGATACATACATTTAGCATATCTTATAACAAATTCTTTTCTAGGTTTCAAAAGAGTACAATGCTATGATAGTATACTCTTTCTTTCAAAAATAAGAAAGTGCTAAAAAATAAAAAATAAAACTAGGGAAGTGAGAAATTTCTGTTAGGTCAGTCCTCAAGAAAATGGGATCAAACATATCATGACAGAAAAGATTAAGAAAAACAGACATTAAGTTAATTATCCATCAAACACAGGAAGACTTATGAAGAATTGCTTATCTTCCTCTAATGCAATGCTGGGGGCTGTATTGATTACAAGGGGGAAAGCATACACCAAGTACTCACTGTAATAACCTATGAGAACCTTTACTTAATTAGCGTAGTAAAAATCACATCCTGGTGCAGAAACCTAAGGTGATACTGATATAAGCCTCTCATGAAGACCCATGATGAAGGCGAGCTCAGGTGCAACTAAGACTCCACACCTACATGTAATGACACAAAGAAGACAAAGTCCCTGCCTGCCCTAGAGATGCTATAAAAGCTGTGCACTTCTCTTAGGGAATCTGCCTGGGAATTCTGTCCTCACCTGCTGCTTCCCTGGTTTCAGAGAATAAAAATAAAACTCTATTGTTACTGCAATATAGTGTTCCTGCTTGATTCTTATTCTGCAGGCTCAGTAACAAAAAGTACCATATGCTTCAGTTTAGGAAAAATGAACTTATAAAAAATGGAAGTGTGGCAAAGTCTAAAAGAAAATGCTTCTATTTTTTTAAAACTATCCATTATTAGCTAAACTCAATCTTCTTCCTCAAGCAAAATAAATGARGTAAATACCCTAAAATTAAACAAGATCTATGAACAGAATTCATATAACTTACAAAAAAGAATTATCATTCATGAAGTTAGTTTCATACATTTGTGTTCAAAATCTCCAATAGCACAGGGAAGCCAATGAAAACAGGAACTACCTTTAAAATATTAACAAAATTTCTCCTCCACTTGGAGTAACAACTAAGCTTGGGAAGATTTTATCTATCCCATTTCCATTCTGCCTGCACACATTTGGAGACAGGCAAGGTTTTTACCTTCACTGAGCCACTCATAACACACTTCCAGAATGGTAATCAGTTGCACCTCCACATCATTTTCTGAAAAACAACTCTGAACTGTCAATTTGTATTTCATACTCACTTTCAAATGAAGCTACCAGGGCTTCCAATGAACAAGGACTTAGACTCTTTTTTTCCACCTTTAAGTGTCCAATATGCAACTAAAAGCAGGGATAAAAATCTTGGCCTCTGTTCCTCCAGTTTGCATCTGTGCACTTTTCTTTGGATCAGGGACCTTGAATTCTGGGAACAAGACATTTAACTAATAAATGTCTTGCAATGAGTAGAACCTACACTCCCCCAGCAGGCAATAGCAGCTTTCATACCTAAGACAAGGTAAGGATTGGACAACTGGACCAATTCTGAGACCACAGTGTGACCAAGATGACGTGTATTTCTGCTCACCTTGTCTATATAATCTAGAAACTCATGTCAGTACCCAAGACAGGGCTGGAAACATTGGTCTTCTATATCTCCAGTATAGTTACACTAGTTAAACTTACTTTCCTGATTTTCACTGATAATCTTGCTATTTGTGCTATTTTCTAACAATATGTGCACACAATACCTCCCCACTTTTCCTGCCACACAAATTTCCTCACTCAGCCTAATCACACACAGTTTGAGCTCCAGTTTCAGGATGTGTGTGCTCAGAGGCAGAACATTAACAGTCCTTGATATAAGCATTGAGAGGAATCTTGTGGACCTTCCAAACAGGCCCCAAGAAGGAGCCTCCTCTCAACAATGATGTCAGGCATCTGTGCTGTGCAATTCCTGAAGTGCTTTCCCCCAACACCCCTGCCTCCTTTCCAGGTTGCCTCCTTTATGAGTCTCCCTGAGACAATCAGCAATCCCCAGGAAAAACAGTGCACCTTAAGAGATAAAGGAGTGGAAACTCTGAGGGAGGAAATGAGACAGTCTCACAAACCCCACCCACCACCACCACCAAAAAAAAAAAAAAAAACTCTAGGACAATTAACTCATAGCCTGTTAGCCATTAAAAAGCATGGTATGTGTTTGTGTGTTCTTCCCTAACTACTTCTTCAGTCTTATGGACCACAAAARCTAGATCCACGGCTGGGGTGTAGCACTTGCTATATGCTTGGGGTTCCATCCCCAGCATTGCAACAATTCCCAGATGCACTAAAGCCAGTATGCCATCACCAACATATCTCCAAGCATAAACAACACAAAAGAATGAAAACTTTGGCTGCTGTTGGTTCAAAATTGAAACCTTAAGCCACAAAAGGCTAAAGGCAAAGAAACTCTCAGCACCTTTAACTTGTTACTCAGCATAACTTGTGCTCTCTTCTACCTGATCTGCGTGTTCTCTTAACAGCTTCCAGGACTCACACATACCACAAGGTTTATACAGGCTGTGGTCCAGATTGGAGGAACATAAATGCCCCTGGGCTCCAAACCTCCAGGCCCCACTGTTTGCACAGGAAAGGAATACCCTTTGAAACTGTGCCCAAAACCAGTGAAAATTCCTAAATTCCACAAAGCCCATCCCTGCAAACCCCTACACATGATAAAAAACTGGCCCCTTTCCTTATTCCAAGAGCCAGCATAATAACTCTTAGAGCTGTCTTCTTTTTGGCGTAAGGAGAGGTCCCAATACAGGTCCCAATCAGCAATCGCTCAATTCACTTTCCATTCTACAAGTCACAAGCATCAAGCCTACCTCAGTGGTGGCGCGCGGGGCTGGTAGCGCGCGGGGCTCTCCTTTCCTCCAGGGCTCTGCAGACGCTGTGTGTGCGGACCCTGGACATGGCCCGCAGCCGTGGCAGAGCCCTTCCCAGGACCAGAAAGAGCTCACCGCGCCCGCTACCCTAGAAGGGGGCACTCACTKCGAGACTGAGGTTGAGGGAACCAGAGTGCCTGGCGGCCTTTCCCTGGCTGGGACACAATCACCACCACCCCAGCGAGGCCAGCCCTGCCCTGCGGAGAGCAAAGCGGAAGGAAGGAGGAGGGGGGAAAACTTAAATGCCAAAATAAACACCAGGACTTGAGAACCCGGGTCACTGAGTGCACAGGCACAATCAAAAACTCCCGGTTTTTTACAGACAGAAAAAGTGAACAGAAGGTGCATGGATGGTTAACAAAGAGAGAAGCAGCATTAAGAGGGAGAAAAGGGGAGGGAGAGGGACAGACACAGGACATGCGCGCAAACCGCGCAGGTCCACTAAAAATTGATGTAGCGGTAACGTTTCCAGGCATTTTACAGTGTGCACTGTCTTCCCAGACATTTGTTTAATTCGGCTTCATACAAGCCTTAGATATGCTCATTTCCTAGATAAAAAAAAAAAATAAAAAAGAATTTAAACTCCGGAGAGTCAGTAGCTATCCAAGATCTCAAGGCACCAATACTTATGCTCACGTACACCTTAGGCAGATTTTTATTTTGGAGCAAACCTGAAACTGACACAAATCACCTAACTCCAAAACTAGAGATCGTTGTGTTAGAAATAACGAAGAACCACAGAAAAAAAAAGAAAAAGAAAAAGAAAAAAAATCAAACACATGCTTAGAAGAGAGTGGCAAGGCAAAAGTTTTTATTTGTGCCAGAAGGGAAAACAACAGAACSTGGGTAGCCAGTGTGTCTGCTTATATCCCAAGGCAGTACTGCCCTTTACCCTGATTGGAGGAGCTTGGGGTTGGTTGCAATCTATGTGATTGGCTAATTCGGCAAAGGGTTGGGTTATAATTAAAATTGCTATAATTGGATCCAATTAAGGCTGAACACTATATTCTGAAAAAGGGCCACCAGACTTTCTATGGAAACTCAAGGTGCGCTGAGTCCTGGAGTATGTACAACTGTCAATCAGAGACAGCTGAGACAACCCAGGTCCTATCAAAGGACAGAAAGACAGTTCACGTTTGCCAGTTAAAGGGCTATTAGAATAAATATGGTTCCCAGCTGGAAGGCATTGCTTCCAGTAGGTGGTGCTGCCCCCAAGGGAATCTGTTGCTTCCCTTTTTCAGAAAGTGATGACAGACAGATCCTGAAAATTTCAAAACACAAAGTCAATACATGGGTTCTTACGCRCAACAGGAAAAACAAAAACACAAGGTTTTATATTAATCAATCCATCCAAGGTGTATTTTGGTTTCACTTTCACTGAAAGCGATCAACTTAGTTGTTTAAATGGTTTGGGGAGAGTTCAAACATCCCTCTTTCACATCAGCTTGGTCCCATCAATTGGCTCTGAAATCACAATGTTCTTCCAAGTATATTAGATTTGTGTCCACCTCTTGGTGAGAGGTGAGAAGACAGGCTTCCTTGGGGGACAATATGAGTTCTTTTTTGGAAGGAGATGTCACCTCCTGATCGTCTTCATCTCCAGTATTTCTTCCATGAATGTGAATGTGTTAGAATTCTAAACCTTTAACTTAAGTGCAATAGTTTAAGAAATGATAGATCATGTAACATTTGGAGAAGACTGTTCTTGTCCTATTTTAAAAGGATTATAAGGGTAACAGGGAACCAAACTAAGAGTACTGAAAATTATTCATACTTTTCCTGATACATTACAAAAGTTGTGTGTATTGTGTATATTTATTATCAATTGTTTGCTTGAGATGAACTGCCAAACATGCACATGTTGGGATCACTATTACCAACTTCTTTCCTTTAATAATTTTAATTATATGCATGTTAGATGAGGGAAGAGTATATGATAGATAACTAAATGGTATTTAATCCTCAAATAATTTAATACAGGATTCAATATGCATTTTATGATATCTGAAAATTGTTACAGAATTGAATAAGTCTTAATAACCTGATAAGATACAGCATTGTATCCAAAAGAAATATCAAATATATCCCTTCCCCTTGAAGAATTTGATCAGCTAATCATAGGAATTGTAGCATATTACACCTATAATCACTAGATTGCACCACAAGATAGTAGTTGTTAAAGTGCTCAAATTTTCAATAGATGTTTTGTAGCAACCCAGTTAGAGAGGAAGTAGCACCATTATTGGACAGTTGTTAAGTGTCACCCCCCCCACTCTATGAATTTGAGTTATTTTTATTTATGTCAACAATCTCATGGAATAGCTAATGAAGTTCATAGAGTTTAAGTCAACTGCTCAGGTTACATAGGCAGGAATGAATATGACCAAGAGTCAAACCTTGATTTCATTTTACCTATTGCAATGATTTGGATCTTAAATATCCTCCAAAAATTCTTGTGTTAAAGAATYGGTCCCCAACTGGTAGAGCTTGCCCCATTGTATGATATCAGTTCTGAATACCTAGGTTGGTTCTATACCTTTGCTACTCTGAATAGCACTGGAGTAAGCATAAGAATACAGAGGTCTCTTTAATATGCTGATTTCACTACCTTCATGTATGAACCTAATGAGATTGGTGGCTCACAGTACTTCTATTTTTTTTTCCCCCCAGAGAACCCTCACATAAAGTAAAGTATTGAAAGTGCAAGCTATTTCTGGGCATGGAGGTACACACTTGTAAGTCCAGTGGTTGGCAGGAGGCAGGGGTGTTGGGGGTGGAGGGTGAGGCAAGAGGATCACAAGTTCAAAGCCAGCCTCAGCAACTTAGCAAAGGCCTAAGCAGCTTTGCAAGACTATGTCTCAAAATAAATAAAAAGGGCTGGGGATGTAGCTCAGTGGTTAAGCATCAATAAGGTTCAATCCCTGGTACAAAAAAAAAAATTGTGAGCTATTGAGGCAGTTTTCTATCTAGCTTAAAACCCATCCTTCTCAAATGTATATTTATGATTTTTAAGTTTTTATTAGTACATGTGCATATTTGCAGAGATTTTTTGGGTGACCTTTGTTATTCGTACCCTCAATGTCTTGGGTATTAATTAAGGACACATTATTACTTTCAGAATTACCATAGTTACTTTCATCTGCCATCTTGTGTGCACTTTACTTAGTATTAGATTCAGAAACAAATTTAGAAAATTCATAGTATTAGGAGGAAAACACTAAATAATAATGAAAGATATTTATCCAATTTATGAAAGTGATTATACTTTCTCATGCCCCTTTTTCTAGCTTCTTCAAAGCATAAGCACACCTTTAATCTCTAGTACTGTTTCCAAAATCTTTCATCATCTCATAACCACTACTCTTTGCCACTTCTCTATGCCAGAAAAAATTACCTGTTCACAGATATATTATCTCATTTATTACTCTCAAAACACCTCCAGATAGGGCTGTGTTGTAGCTCAGTGGTAGAGCGCTTGCCTCACATGTGTGAGGCGCTGGGTTCCATCCTCAGCATCGCATAAAAATAAATAAATAAAATGAAGATATTGTGTCCACCTACAACTAAAAAATATATTTAAAAAAAAACCTCAAGATAGCATCAAACTCATATCATATGCGAAAACGAAAGCTAAACTACTTGGTAGACTTGTCTACCTTTGGCTGTAATATTCCCTGGGGGAATCTCCAACCATTTAGTCCCTAGTACAGACACTTACCAGGGAAGGCAGCCATGGGAACTTAAGGCTGATGGCACAGGCTCTGTGGACAGAGATCTCTGGAGTGGGTTTTTGACTCTACTCTCAATAGCTTTGGAATAAAATTGAGCTCCTAAGGCTTTTGATGGGCTAATGACTATATGAGATTCAATAAGAAAACACTTAATGAAGTGTCATGACAAGCACATTACTCAACTTGAGCTTGAAAGATTGATTTATTAGGAAACTTATCTTGCCAAGAGCCAGCTATCTATCTATCTATCTATCTATCTATCTATCTATCTATCTATTTATTTATTTGTACTGGGGATTGAACTCAGTAGCACTTAACCACTTTGCCACACCCCAGCCCTTTTTTTCTATTTTATTTTGAAACATAGTCTCACTGAATTGTTTAGGGCCTCACTGAGTCGCTGAGGCTGATTTGAACTTAGGATCCTCCTGTCTCCAGAGCTGCTGGGATTACAGGTGTGCACCACTGCACACTGCCCAGCTGTTCAGCTCCTTAGCCCATTTATCGATTGGGTTGTTTAGTTTTTTGGTGTTAAGTTGTTGGGTTCTTTATATATCCTGGAGATTAGTGCTTTATCTGATGTGCATGTGGCAAAAATTTGCTCCCAAAATGTAGGCTCTCTTTTCACCTCTTTGATTGTTTATTTTGCTGAGAAGAAGCTTTTTAGTTTGATTCCATCCCATTTATCAATTCTTGATTGTATTTCTTGTATTTTAGGAGTATTATTAAGGAAATCAGAGTCTAATCCAATGTGATGAAGATTTGGGCCCACTTTTATTTAATATTTTTTTAATTTTTATTAGTTGTTGATGGACCTTTATTTATTTATTTATATGTGGTGCTGAGAATCAAACCCAGTGCCTCACACACACTAGGCAAGTATTCTACCACTGAGCCACAACCCCAGACCTCTAATTTTTCCTCTTTTAGGCACAGGGTTTCTGGTCTAGTACCCAGGTCCCTGATCCACTTTGAGTTGAGTTTTATGCATGGTGAGAGATGGGGGTTTATTTTCATTTTGCTGCATATGGATTTCCAGTTCTCTTAGCACCATTTGTTGAAGAGGCTATCTTTTCTCCAATGTATGTTTTAGGTACTTTTGTCTAATATAAGATAACTGTATTTATGTGGGTTTGTCTCTGTATCTTCTATTCTCTACATTGGTCTACATGTCGATTTAGGTGCCAATACTATTCCATTTGTGTTACTATACCTTTAATATAGTTTAAGGTCTGGTATAGTGATGCCTCCTACTTCACTCTTCTTCCTAAGGATTGCTTTGGCTATTCTGGGTGTCTTATTTTGTCAAATGAATTTCATGATGGCTTTTTCTATTTCTAAATGGAATGATGTTGGGATTTTAGTTGAAATTGCATTGAATCTGCATAGTGCTTTGGGTAGTATGGCCATTTTGA